AGCTGATTCTGCTTCGAGTTACAATGAGGGCTAGGCCTGCACCTACTTCAGCACAGCTGCATGGAACAGCTTGCTCCACCGCTTCTAGACACAGTTCTCCCTTGGGCATTAGCAGGGCAGAGACCTAGACATGGCCCACTCTAGAAGCCCACTCTTCATAGGCCTATTACACCAGGGCTCTGGTATGTAGCCAGGCCCTGGGCAAAGCCCTTGTAAGTCAGGCCCATGAGCACACCAAGGAAGGATCTGTGCAGGCACATAGCACACCTTGAGTGAGCACTCATAGCGTACCTTTCCAGTATAAGCATATCCTATCCCATGGCAGGAAGCTCATGGGTCCATGAAAGGGCCTTTCTGGTCTTCATCGCTGACTGTGACAAGGCAGATACCCATGTGCACCAGGGCACATGCACTCTGAGACACCTCAGTGGGCCAGGACAGTATGGTTCCCCAACCTCTACCACGAGCACTTATCCTTCAAGCGCACCTCCCCTTCCCTGGCCTCTGTGTCCCACTGCCTGCAAAAATCTCTCAGAGAGAATAGGAACTCCTGAGCAGGTATGAACTGTGGGAGGAGGGCTGGCAGTGCCCAGGCTTAGCTGCAGAGAGGAGCTGAGCAGGGCAGAAGAGAAGCAGGACAGATGCATGGCCCATGCAGCTCCCAGAAATGCATGCCACCTGATCTGAGCTCTGAACAAGGCCCTGGGCAGGAGATAAATCATTCCCTGTTCCCAATAAGTAGAACTCTAACAGAGTGCTAGTTCTGAAGCCACAGCATCCTCATCTATACAACTAGGTCAGATGGCCAGAGTCAGATGTGGAAGAAGGCTGTGTAATTCCATGAGGGACTCACAGCAGGGGCCAGACGAACCTGGTGAGTGGTGATCGCCAGACACGACATGCCACCTGCCTTCACTGCTGCAAAAGCCACAGGCCCTTTCCACCCAGCTTTAGGGGCTCTGGGACTTGGCCCCACACAGCTTCCCCCTCAGCCTCTCACCAGCCTGGCCCATCTATAGGGCAGGACACAGCAGCCACTCACTTGCTCCTGCTTGGCTTTCAAAACGTGACCCGGTCCCAGCAGCCACCTTCACTCCTGCTTCTGTTCACTGTATTGCCCTCCACCCATAAACACCAACATTCCTGGTCCTGAGACACCTACAGGTCTGCTACATCCTTCTCACCTGATTCTCTACATCTATCTCTCTTCTCACCTGTCTATCCTACCCATCTCCCCTTTGGCCCACCTGTCCCATCTCACAGCTTCTTCTACCCCAAGATCCCCCTGCAGCCTGCCAGTCATCAGAGCTCTTAAAGGCCACTCGGCAGTGTGAAATGGACATCTCAGGTCTCTCAATCTGGCAGACCATCCACTGACCTGTGAGCCCAGTCAGGTAAGCTTGAAGGCAGTCCCCTTCATTCATCCCCTTCTCTTGGCCTGACTGACCATTTATTGCAGAGTAGAGGGCCCTGGCATCACCTCCTATAGTAGGTCTGTGCTGGCTAGTTTTTATATCAACTTGACACAGACTAGATTTGGGAAGACAGAAGATCAATTGAGAAAAAATGCCCCCTTCAGACTGACCCATAGACAAGCCTATGGGGCACTTTCTTGATTAATGATCAATATGATATCACCCATTCCATTGTGGGTGATGCCACTCTTGGGTAGGTAGTCCTGGGGTCGTACAAGAAAGCAGATGGTACAAGTCATGAGGAGCAAACCAGTAAGCAGCACTCCTCCATGGCCTCTGCTTCAGTTCCTGCCTCCAGATTCCCGCCTCGCCATAAGTTCCTGCCACGACTCCCTTCTATAATGGACTGTAATGTGTAAGCTGAAATAAACCTTGCACTCTCCAAGCTGATTTTGATTATGGAGTTTTAGCACAGCTATAGAAATCCTAACAAAGAAAGGGTCCTACAGGCCCTCCTGGGCTGCAAGCCCATGAAGGCAGAGCTCCAGCATGGGCAGAAAGGTGCCCTGCTCTGCCTCTGGCAGGCAGAGTAGTGAGGCTACCCAGCCTATGCAATCCTCCTCTGTTCCTGATACCACCTAGACTTGAAGCATCTCCCATTCCTCCTCCCAAATCAGTCTACAGGGGTGACTTCAAAGGTATGGACTGTCTTTCTTCTCTTGCAGGGGCCAAATCTGGAGGGAACTGGGGAAAAACACATCTCAGATCAGGGGAAAGTCCTGCAGAGTCTTTGCCAGTGGATCCCCATCCCATCCCAGGAACACTGGGCCCTGGTGTGCCCCCAACTCCCAAACAGCCTCTGTTGGCCAGGCTTCCAAGTGCTCCAATGTCACTTAACCCCTGGACCCAGGTGAATAAATCATCAAAGGACATACTCAAGGCCTCCAACAGTAGTTTAACAGGAAGAGAGACGACTGCATGACCACAGACACAGCAGCAAGAAGCAGAGGCCAAACACCAGCAAAAGTGATACAAGAAACTCACTGGGCCCAAGCCACCCACACAAGGCTGAGCCACTGCCCAATGGGTGGTCCAAAACAAGGGGCATATTGGATGCTCCAGAAAGTGTAGAGAAGCCACACACCCTCTACCCCATCTAACTCCATGAAGGCAACATCTTGAGGTCCATCTTCTTGTATTGGGCTTACACTGCTCCACGGTTCACTGCCAGCAGACTATCCCCATCCACAGCCCCAAGAAGCAGCTTATATGTGGACAGACAGACACAAGCAGAAAGAAGCAAGGGTTAGTGTTGAAATGAGCAGGTGGGTAGGAACTGAGAGCCATCTGTGTGTGTGTGTGTGTGTGTGTGTGTGTGTGTGTGTGTGTGTTCCCATGACATGTAGCCATGCCAGGAGAAGCCCTCAGATCAGCATGTAAGCAGGGCAGCAGTGGACAGAGGTCTGGCCTACACTCCCCATCAAGCTTTCCTAGCAAGAAGTTTGGCTCTGCCTGATCCAGGAGTAACACACAAGGTTGAGATAAAGCAATTCTGCTGGCAACTGGTGCTATGTGGTCAGGCCCAGCAAATACAGTCAGGACCTACCTACATCCACCAGGATGACCTTTCAATAGCAGAGAGGGAAGACATACATGATGAGTGGTCTCCTTGGCTGCACATTTGCACTCTGCTGGTCAGAAGTCAGGAGAGGGTGTGTCCAGAGGGCCCAGGAGCTAAGCTGCTCAGGGTCCTTCTATGTCACTGGCGATCGTGGTGTCCTTAACTATACGACCATATAATGCCACAGAGAAGACAGGGAGCCCAGCCCCTACCCACAGAGTCCACAAGGCACCATGCATCATTCACTACTGTCATCACTTACACGCCCAGGGCTTCTTATAACGTTTTATTGGTACAATAATTAGATTATTTCACTGCCTCCTGCATTCTGCTGCTCCAGGCCCTTCCCTCACAAACTACAGTTGCTCATCCCAGGAAACATGCATATCCGGAACTCAATAGAACACCAGCTGCCTATGCCTTCCCCTCAGCCCCGAGCCCCTTGCTCAGTGCCTTGGTGTTGACTGCTTAGCTTAGGGGTTGACTCCAGGGTGGGAAGATGTAGCTTCTGGGGCTCAAAACACCCATGTGCCTCTGTCTCAGTGACATCACAGTTGCAAGCCTCCAAGGGAACTCAGCCTGGCCCACCTTCTTCCGAAACATCACCTTCTACCACTGCCTCCCTGAAGCCCTGGGGTGCTTCTAGAGGGCTCCTAAGCCCCCGCCCTAACCACACTGCACCCTCCCGCTGTCCTCCACTCTCTAGCCTGCACTGGCTCTGGGGAACTTTTCCAAACGGAAAGGAGATGTGAGCAGTGCCAGTCGGACCTTTGGGCAACCGGAAGACAGGCCAGTCCTGGGAGAAGAAAGAAAATGGCTGAGTCCCAGCCTCCCACAAAGAAGACTGTGTGAATGCGCCTGGCTGACCAGATGAGGGGGCTGACTAAACCCAGCCCGCCCCAGAAAGCTGGCCAAATGCAAGGTAGCCGGGTTCTCTGCTGTTCTACGGGGAAAGCTGTGCAGAGATGGAACCTGCCCAGGGAAAGACAGTGAGGCCTCTTGGGGAGGTTCGTCTCTGCTGTAGGCCCAGGTCTGTTCCAACCGTCAGGCAGGGATGTATGGCCCAAGCCCAGGAACTGTCACCCTCTACCTCCCGAGGGAAGCCCAGTGTCGCAGAGGCTCAGGCTTGAGACTGGGTGCAGAAGAAGGCGCTGTCCAGCTTTCCTAAGGTTCCTGCGCTGTCACCCCCCTATCCGAGCCGGAGGTCCGGGCTAGGAAAGCCAGGCCGGGACCTGCCGGGCGGTGGCCGCTGCCTGGAGGTGGGGGTCATGCGGCCGGGACGCAGCTGCTCAGGCAGCATGCCTATTAGCGTGGCAGACGGCAGATGGGCGCCCGCTCGTCCCCCTCCTCCCGTGGCACAATGGGCCCGGCGCTCGCTCGGGCGCACAATGCGGGCCCCGGGCCGCGCACCTGCAGCGGGATTGCCGGGAACCGCCAGGCCCGGCTCATGCTGCCCCAGTCGCCGTGCGCCCCAGGCCGCGCCGCGTGTCCTTGGGCTGCGCCCGCCCGCCCGCAACCGGTGGGCTGCGGGGCTCCACCACGGGACCCAGGAGTGCGGCGGACGACGGCGCACCGCCGCCCATTGTTCGCGGCCGCCGGGCCGGGCCTGCAGCATCTCTGCTCTGCGGCCTCCCTCCGCCCCGCCCGGCCGGTCAGCACGGTTTCACCGGCCCCGCGGCCGCGCGCCCGCCCCCCACCCCGGCCCCGCCCGCGCCCCCAGCCGCCGGCGCGCACGCACCTGTCTGCCCCTTGCCCAGCGTCTTCTCCAGCCGGTAGGGCCCCACATACTGCGCGTGCTGCGCCCCGCCGCCGTCCTTCCCCGTCGATGTCATCGCTCCCGGGCCCCGCGCCGGCGAGTGGGCGCCCGGGCGCGCGGGCAGGGAGGGGCCGGCCAGCCGTGCGCCCGAGTCCGCCGAGCGCCGTCCGCGCTGACCCGGCCCGCGGCGCCCCCGGGCGGGCCGCGCCGCTCTGCGCCCCCGCCGCCCCCCACGCCGCGCCCGCCGCACCCGTGCGAGGCCGGGCCGCGGGGATACCTCTCTGCCTCTCTGAGAGGACCCGGCGGGCGGGGGCACCAGGCTTCCGCCGCCACCTCCGAGGCCCGCGCCCCGCGCCCCCCAGCGCACGCCCGTCCGCGGCCGTGCAGCCGAGCCCCGCCGAGCAACCGAACCGAGCCGCTCAGCCGAGCCCAGACGAGCAGCCGAGCACCTTCGAGTGCCGCCGAGCCCGAGCCGAGCCCGAGCGAGCGCCACCGGCCGCAGCTACCGTGACAAGTGGTGCTTATAGCTGTCAATCAGAGGCATGGCCCAATCAGCGCCGCCCGCCTGGACCGCCCCGCCATTCTCCAAGAGCGCACTGGGCCGCTGGGCCGGGAAAGGCGAGATTGGGGTGTTGGTGGGGTGGGGGTGAAGTGGAGGCCACGCCAGGACTGGGAGCCACCGGACCGTGCTCTATCTGCTGGGGGTCTTGTCATTAAAAGGAATGCCGGGGCGGTGCAGGCAGCAGGCCTCTGGGAGAAGTCCATGTGGCCGCCTTGGTCTAGGGGTTTCTTCTTGCACCCCTGGGTTTTGGGAGGAGTTTTCCGCCCCTCGCGAGAGTTTTGTATATAAAACTGGGCCGTTGTACCATGGAAGGGTGCTGCAGGCGGGTTTGGAGTGCTGGTTACCAGGCACAGGTGATCCCTGCAGGGTGGGGATGTTAAGTGCTGGCGAGGATACTGCATGCGAGCCGGGTTCTGCAGACGGGGTGGAGATGCTGCTTTTAGGTTGGGGTTCTGCATACAGCGTGGGTGCTATGTGTAGGCTAGAGCTCTGAACGCAGGTAGTGTTCTGCATATGAGGCGTAATGCTTCATGCGGAGCGAGAGAGCTGTGCACTGCAGTACCCAGAGTGCCCTGGATGTCTTTCTCCACCTGCTGTTTCTGTTCCCGTGAGAAAGGGACAGCATTTTCGCGGTATGCCAGTAGACACCAGTATACTAGGATCCATGAATTCTAGCTGAGGCACTCTGCAGCAGGGCCCTCGTGCCTCCAAGACCTTAGCTGCAGACCTTTCTATATTTAAGATAAGCCATGAGTCAATGGGTTTCATGGTTTCCTGAGAAGCCTCTGAAAAGTGTATGGCCTTAAGGCGAGTAGTGGAGGCAATCAGACCTACAGGGACCCTCCTTTTCTTGCATGAAACCCTTGTATTTTCTTAAGATATGCTGTGGGAGGTGGTGGAAAAGAAGAGATGGGGGCCAGGCTCAGAACTTTACAGATGTGGGTTATACTTCCTGTGTACCTCAATGGAAGCTGCATTAGCCAACAATGTTCCAGGTCAACAAGGTATGAAATGTCACCTTCTCCTTCAGCCACCTGCTTGCCCTTGCCCACCCTAAGTGTCACAGTGTGAACTTACAGAGGGGCCCACTTTTTCCAGCACTACCCAGGAAGACCAATGGAGAGTGAGGACATTGTGGCCTGTTCATATTTCCAATGTAAGAAAGAACCAACCCTCAGAACAGCTTTCTCTTCAAAGAGCTGGCCTGATCTTTGGAAGTGGTAGATTTAGGGCCACTGGGTACTAAGTGTTGTTCTGGAATGAGCAGCACTGGCCTGCTAATGGGGACACACAGGCAATCACAGAGGGTGAGCCTCAGGCTGATGCTGGCACCACTAGGGGCAGTGGTGATTTTTCAGCAACACCTGAGAGTATTTGGGACCTTGGAGTAGAGTATTCACCCGGATTTGGCCAGAGGTGAGCAGTAGAAGTAGAACATGGGCAGGTGAGTGGGAGGGCCAATGATCCACATAAGAAAAGAAAGATGATGCCAGGTCCCTGTCTACTGGGGCCCCTCTGGTCACCTGGCCTCCCTGTCTACATTCCTACCTTTCCAGGGGCCTTAGCAGCATTTGGTCTGTAGCTATCTTCATCTGGTCCCCAAAACTTTTATCTTCAAGACTGCTTCTCCCTACTTGCAGTCTACCCTCTCTCTGCCTCTTGGTCTCTTTCCCTCTCTCTAGCTGCCCGTTTTTGTGTGTGCATCTAGCCAACACCAATCAACAAGCTCTCCAGGGTCAGGTGTAGAGGCTCTTCTCTTGGATGTGCCCTCCAGGAGCAGCTGTGTCCCTGCGGTACCTACAGCTTTGAAGCCCAGTGAGTCTCTACTGCCAGGTCCACCTGGAGCCCAGGTTCCAACCATACCTGTTCCATAAATCCTTAAATTCTACATCTTTATAACAGATGCTGTATCCCCTATCCCCATCTTTGTGAAATCACAAACACAAACTCCAGGGTGAGCGGATCTGAGACTGAGGGACATTCCAAGTAATGGTCAGCTAAGAGGCACTTGTGACTGTGAATGCCATGGCTAGTGGGGCCCATTTGTTCCATTGTATTGTGGGGACAGGAGCTGTGAGGGATCCAGTGCTATTGAGCAAGTTGACGTGCTCCAGAGTTTGGGAGGCCCTTGTCCAAACCAGGAGGCCTCTCTGGCAGACTAACCTTCCACTGCACCAGTATGTCCTTAATTATTTAACATAACCCAGGACCCACACCAGATAAAGATAGGTCAAGAAAGGAAGTGGAGCCCACTACTTCCAAGGACCTAGTAACGAAAATCCTTAACAGAGTGTCAGCAGCAAATTGATTCCAGCGATAAATGAAAAGAATTCCTGTGAACCTGTAGGGCTTTTGTCTAGGAATGCCCAGTTAATGTTTCAAACTAATTTTAGTAGGTTAGGCCAATTAGGCCAGAAAAAAAAAAAACAAAACTGTAATACTCATTTAAAAAAAAAAAAAGTTTCCCATTGCCCCATCTAGTGTCAGGCAGGTCCCAGAGCCCTTAGCCTGAGGGTCCAAGTGAAATTCCTCTGCCATTTCTACCTGCTTCTTTTGGTTGTGTTCTGAGACAGGCTCTCTCCATGTACCTTCGACTGGCCATGATCCTCTCCTTCTCAGCCTTCCAAATGTTGGGATTACAGGCACGTACTGCCATGCCTGCTTCTGCCTGCCCAGGGAAAGAGAATACAGAGCATTTAGGGGAACAGCCAGGAGGGAGACCAAGATGCCAGGAGAGGCTCAGAACTCCTGCAGACTAAGCCTGCTTCTAGTTAGCCTGGGCTAACTTAGAGACAGATGTGGGAGTAGATAACCCCAAAACCGAGGAGTATAAGTCCCAAAGCCACTACTTTGGGACTGCTTTTACAGTAATTTAGTTGTGGGGCCTGGACTTGGGAGGGGGCTGATACATTTGGGAGGGACATAGGGATGGTAGGTAGCCAAGCTTCAGGCCCATGTGGGGTGCAATTGGGAAGGTGTACCCCCACTTATCTTCACTTTTTCCTCCACCTTGTCTATTATTCCATTCACATTTGTCCAAGAAGGAAATGAGGCTAAGAAAACACAGCCCTGGCCTTGGGAAAGGTTGCACAGCCCTCCAAATGCGGATAAGAGACTGGCGTGTGGATACGTCTGAAAAGGACCACAGATGCTGTGTACTGTGTGCATTTTCCCACGCTTTAAAAAATTGAAAGCAGGCTAGAGAGTTACATTTTAAAATTGGTGCTTTTGTTCCTTTCCTCCTTTACTTTCTGGCACATGAGATATTGTTGTATGGCATCTGGGGGCCCCACCACCAGGGTTGGGGAAGCCGGAGCCAGATGCAGGATTATGGGAAGTAAGGAAAGGAGACATTGTTTCCAAGGCCTCCTGGATCAGTTTAGAGCATTAATCCATTTCCTGGGAAACAGCCCAGACCCCTGAATGCATTCCCTAGGAGACAGCACCAGGGGGCCCTCGTCCTGGCTCCTTACTGTCTTGTACATACAGTAAGGCAACCAGAGTGGAGGACAGGCTGAGAATATGCATCCACACCCTGGAAGGAGGAAAGAGGAAGGAGGTTTGCAGTGGCAGTATTAAGCAAATGCAGTAAATACAAGTACTACAGTTGCCAGGAGCATGCATTCTTTTCTCTTCCCTCCACTCCTTCTAGAGCAAGCCACAAAGAATTGATGAAGAGCGAAACTGTGTCCAAGGCAATTGAGCAAACACTCTGTATAGAGTCATCCCAGCCCACTAGTAACAGCTGAAGGAAGACAGAACGGTAAGCTGTACCTTCATCCGCCATGGATTTTTAGCTCAACCGTCCTTGTACTGACTCATTTAATGAGATGGCTTCTGAGGCAAAGGTGAGGTCCCAGCCACAGACCTACTTTGAGCCACGAGTGGTGCCCTGCCTAGCATTCTCATTCTGCCTGCTCTTGCTTGTAATGAGACTATTTATGGTTTCAATTTAGTTTTTATTATTATTGCTGTTTGCTTTTCAGAGTTTAGAGATGTACATCAAGGCTTCTCCCACCTCACATGCCTCCAAAGCATTCCTCGGCTTCCAGGGAAGAGCATGAGAGTCATGGTGAACGCTGATAATTAAAGTCAACATCTCAGCACATTGAGTCAATTTCTTGAAAAAAAAATTTCAATACCAGGTAACCCTGTATATCAATTCTCCATACCCAAATAGCTGGCAGGCTTCCTTTTCTGCAAAGTGGATGTCTCTCATGAAATTTGCATTTAATAACAGTTGTTTTCCTGCCTTTCTCAGGAACCTCCAATACTATGGTCCTCTCTTGGTCCTGACCTGACCATTTTCCAAGTGATGCAGGAGGGTAAGGAGCTGCCTATGGTTGTCATGGCTACAGAGTGTGCATTGTACTGCCCCATGTTTGTTCATACATCGAGGAATGTGAATCCTGTTTCACCCCAGCAATGTGATCCTTGGGCCTCCAACTCCTGCTGTGAAGAAGCCACAGGGCCCTGCCTTCCTGACCCCTTCCTCAAGGTCCAGGGTGGGAACCAAGTTGGGCTGTGACTGTAGCCCCACAGCAGCTCTGAGGCTAGGTGTACCTCAGATGTCAAGCCTTTTGTGATTGGGTATAGTAGTGAGGTCTCATGTAGAAACTTACAGTCCTCCCTCTCAGGTCAGGGCCTCTCCAAAGAGACTGTAGTCCAGGCAGTTAGAAGGGTTATAAGGTTATAAGGGCCTTAGAAGACCCCCTTTCAAAGGGCAGCTGTGAGCATACTCGGGGAGGGTATCAATGACCCTGCGGTTCTCCAGGGCTTGAACTTTCCTCTCCACCCTTGTCCACCCTCTGCTCAGTAGTCATTGTCCCCCACTTCTTCAGTGGTATCATTCAGGGATGATGGCAGCAGCGAAGCAGCTGAAGGTCTCCCACATCCTTTGGGGTCCAGCCTTACCACCCTCATCTTGAGAACAAAGGCCAGGGACTTACTTGCTCATTGTTGAGGCCACCGTCCCTCCTTGTCCTCCTTAGCCCTGACCCTCTGGGAAGCCTGGGATCTGCACAGTACCTCCTTGTATTCAGAGTTCCCTGCCCCTATAGATCCCATAATCACCACTTGATCTCTCCCCTTCTCTCTCTGAGTCCCCTACTCTCTGAGCCTTTCCCTAACATATACCAGTGTTAGGGTGAATGCCAAACACACCCTGAGCACCTCCTGAGCAACTGTGTCTAGGACCTTCGCAAAGCCAGGGCCCAGACCCAGGACCGTGGAGGAATGCTGTTCCCTGGCTTCCCCTAAGGCCCCATCACAGAACCAGCACCTTCTCCCCTGGATAGGCACCAGTGCTGGCCATGACCAGCAGACCTGCCTGGCTAGTGCAGCGCACACAGAGTGATCACGAATTTGCACCTGACAGACCTTTGTGCTCTCGTGGCTATAAGGAGAACAGGTCTCAGGTGGCTTCTCCAGCTGTAGCGCAGGAACAGAGGGACTCTAAACTACACCCTGGAGTCACAGTACTGAGCCACAGTCCAACTGTCCTGCACACCTGCTTCCACTGTATACATGCTTGTACTGCCAAGCCTGAGGTTGTCGTTGGCTGAGCCACACTTTGTCTCTGGTGACAGACTAGGGCTCCTGCCACCCCTCCAACCCCAACCTGGTGACCCCAGGCCACAGGCCAGACAAGCACCCAGTGCTCCTTGGCAGCTCTGCCCATTTCTATTTCCTACAGCCCAGTTCCCCTCCCGACAGGTCTTTCAGCCCCAATGTCTAGAAGCATCAAAAAAGCAACTGACCTGCCTATGACAAAGACAAAGAGCAGAGCGGAAGGAAAATTGAGAGCATTTTATTTTCATTAAAACATATCGGATACTAAGAATGGTGTTTTCCTAATCACAGCGCTGGGCTGGAAGCCAGGGCATCTCTGCTGACGTCAGCTGTGTGTGGAGGCAGGCAGGGCCCAACCCACTATTGGTTGAGAGCTCTCAGAAGTTGCTGGGAGCCGACACTTTCAGTGGCCGCTCCATTTCCCTGTGAAGCTAGCACGGCCTAGGGTTTGGAGGGTTCATCCCCCACCTGTGACTGATGCTGTGACTCCTCTTGATTGTAGATTTCTACGTAGCTTGCTATCCCCCCATAGTTGAGAGCGGCAGACACTGCTGCGTATAGTGCCTGCCAGTGACTAGTCAGAGGGGTCCAGGACTACAGCAAGGAGCAGACATGGGAACAGAGGGCCCCAGCTACCCATCATGTGGCTATAGCCAAGGGCTCCTGGAGCCACAGGATTCCTGAGCTCCTGGTAGAATCCCAGGAGACGGATGTTACTGGCATCCCACCTCCTCACCCTGCAGATTCTGTCTCTTGGCAAAAAGCCTGTTGGGGAGGCTGGGCCTAGGGTATAGCAGCCACTTCACTCCTGTCCTTCCTTGGCTGTGAGACTTGGCCCCTCATGCCTATTGGTACCTCAGTTTGCATAAAATAGATGAATTCACAAGACTCCTCCTCAAGGTTGTGGGGTGTGTAGTGCCAAGGCAAGGATGTAGAATGTGAGCTAGGCAACTGTTCTCATTCGAAAAGATCCAAAAACAACCACACACACACACACACACACACACACACACACACACACACACACACACACACACACAAAAGACTCTCTTGCTCCATCCCTGAGCCTGAAAAACAATCTTTCTTAAAATCAGAATCTGGTTTCCTGGACAGCAAGACAGGTCCCATAATCAGGATGAAGTATGATTCAGAATCTCAGTCCTAACTGGCTAGACTGTCCCACCACAGGGGACCTGGAGTGAGGTGTTATGGAGGACACTGTGGCAGGAAGCAGCCAATGACTCTTTGTGAGTGGGTGTCCTCAACAACTAGTAGGCCATGCTGTGAAACAGATCTCCCAAACAGTGGCACAAAACAACTGTTTGTAACACTCAAGGGTATGAAAATCCAACCTAGCAGGCCCAAGCTGGGAGACAAAAGGCTGAGTCTGGAATCTTCCAGTCACAGGAAAGTGTTTTCGAATGTTGCACTTTTTTTCTTAATCATTTGGCTGGGGTCCTTATGGATAGAAATCGATGGGCAGGTAAGGAAAAGCTCTTCTAAGTCCCTGGCTCCTGAGTGTCCAAGACCTAGGGTGGGAGGACAATACCCAAGCTTATAACTCGAGCCCTGAGATCTGAGGGTGTACTGTTCCAAGCTTTGGAAACTAGAGACTTAGGGTTCTCTACACAGCCTTATTACTCTGCACCTTACCCTTCAGTGACCTCAGCACTTGGCAGCTGTGAAATCCCAAGCTTCCAGCAGTAATGAGTGTCAGCAGTGGGCTGAGGAGGCAGGAGACCTAATGTTAACCTTCCTAAATGGCCTGCAGGTAACCCCAAGCTGTTTCAGTGACTGATGTTACAGATGTCAGTCCCAAAATGTCAGCTCCTTCACCCTTGATTGCAGCTGGAGTTACAGCTGTCAGACCAAGGGGGTCTGAGGCCCTTGACCCTACAGCTTAGCAGCTCCCTGGAACTTTTTTTCTGGCAAGACTGTAGTTTCTTATCTTTAGCATCTGCCTGCCTGCCTGCCTTCTTTCCTTCTTTCCTTTCTTCCTTCCTTCTTTCCTTTCTTCCTTCCTTCTTTCCTTTCTTCCTTCCTTCCTTCCTTCTTTGTTTTGGATTGGATTATTTTGTTTGTTTTCTGAGACAGGGTTTCTCTGTGTAGGCCTGGCTATCCTGGAACTCTCTCTGTAGACCAGGCTGGCCTCAAACTCACAGAGATCTACTTGCCTCTGCCTCCTGAGTGCTGGGATTAAAGGCGTGTACCTCCACCGCCCGGCCTACCTTTCTTTTAAAATAAGTTTTAGGGGCTGGAGAGATGGCTCAGAAGTGAAGAGCACTTGCTGCTCTTACAGAGGACCTGGGTTCATTTCCCAGCACCCACATTGGGCAGTGCACAGCTGCCTGTAACTTCAGTTCTAGGGGACCTGATGCACTCTTCTGGCCTCCATGGAAACCTGCTGCACACTAGGCACAAACTTACATTCACGCATACACACATATACATAAAAGAATAACATAAACCTTTAGCCAGGCACACTTTTAATCCCATCATTTGGGAGGCAGAGGCAGGCAAATCTCTGTGAGTTCAAGGCCAGCAGGATCTACAAAGTGAGGTCCAGGACAGCCAGGGCTGTTACACAGAGAAACCCTGTCCCCTGTCTCAAAAAACAACCGAGAGAGAGAGAGAGAGAGAGAGAGAGAGAGAGAGAGAGAGAGAGAGAGAGAAGGAGGAGGAGGAAGAAAGGAAGGAAGAAAGAAAGAAAGAGAGAAAGAGAAACCTTTAAAGATTTTTACATTTTTTGCATGCGCGTGCTGGAGTGTGTGTGTCACAGCATGCATGTGGAAATTAGAAGACAACTCTTAGGAGTCAGTTGCTCCTTCCACCACGTGGGTCCCAAGGATCAAACCCAGGTTGTTAAGTTTGGCAACCTTTACCTGCTGAACCAACTCAGCTTATGCTTTATACGCTCCCCCCTTCTCTCCCTCCCTCCCTCCCTTCCTTCCTCCCTCCCTCCCTTCCTTCCTCCCTCCGCTTCCCCCCTTCACTTCTGCCATGCCTTGTCTTTGCTGCCTCTGCCCCCCATCATTTGTTCTGCAGCCACTCTTTGGAACCCCTCAGCCACCTCGCTTCTGTCTGCCACCACCATCACTCCCACTCCCAGGATGACTGCTGCCACCATTTCAAATGGCACTGCCATTTTACCCTCACGTTACCAGAATCGCCAACTCCACCAATGATAAAGATCAAAAGTTAGCATGAAAAGTGTTCTCCAGTGACACATTATATTATGTCTGTGCTGGTTAGCTTTTGTCCCGTTGGCATGGGCTAGGGGCATCTATGTCCTAGATCCTAGGAAGAGCTAACATCAATTGAAGAATTGCCTCCATCCGATTGGCAGATTAGGTGAGTCTGTGGGGCATTTCCTGGTTAATGATTGACGTGGGAAGGCCCAGATCATTGCAGGCGGTGCCACCCTCGTACAAGTGATGCTGGGTTGTATAAGAAAGCAAGCTGAGCAAGCCATGGGGAGCAAGCCAGTAGGCAATGTTCCTCCATGGCCTCTGCTTCAGTTCCTGCCTCCAGAGTCCTGCCTTGAGTTCCTTCCCAGATTCTCTCAACCATGGAATGTAGCCTGAAAAGGGAAATAAACCTCTTTGTCCCCCAAGTTGCTTTTGGTCATGTTTTTTATCACAGCAATAGAACGCACACTAGTGTGGTGCCTGATGTTGCAAAACCAGGAGGCAGCGCTAGAGGATGTCTCCTACCAGACTAGAGAAGCGAACCAAACATCTGGCTTCTACAGAGACAGAAGGGAATGTGGCAAGGATCTTTGTGCCAATCATAGCGCAATCCTTCCTGCAAATAAAGGATTATGTTTACAACAATCACAGGCCTTCTTGCTGGGCCATGAGGAGAAGTGCTCCCCCTCTGGCCTTGGTGAAGACGGAGCCTAGAGTTCACTGAAATTTGTAATGGGGAAAGTCTAAAATAAGCAGGTCTTGTCCATGACTGGGATAGTGTCTTCTGGAGCCTGAGTGTGAGCCATAGCAGCTATGGTTGCTATGTAGCTTCATCAAGGCAGCTATGGAATTTCAAAGCAGCCAGGCTACCTTAAGAGCAGCCCAATGAGCTACTTTGTTAATAGTTCCTGCTTAGAGGAACTAGGACCCCCAGGAAGGGTCTAACAACTGGGAAGTCAAATCACCCAACGCCTTACATTTTAGCTTATTTAAAGGTCAACATTAAAAAGAATGCTTACCATGAAGGTTTATCATTAGCATCAATGGTGATTTAACTGTACGTAACAATTCACTCTTTTTTTTTTTTAAATTTTAATTTATTTTGCAATACAATTCAGTTCTACATATCAGCCACGGATTCCCTTGTTCTCCCCCCTCCCATCCCCCTCACCTTCCCCCAACCCCCCCCCCCCCATTCCCATCTACTCCAGGGCAAAGCCTTCTCCACAGACTGAGGTCAACCTGGTAGACTCAGTCCAGGTAGGTCCAGTCCCCTCCTCCCAGGCCGAGCCAAACAATCCTGCATAGGCCCCAGGTTTTAAACAGCCAACTCATGCAATGAGCACAAGATCTGGTCCCACTGCCTGGATGCCTCCCAAACAGATCAAGCCAATCAACTGTCTCACCCATTCGGAGGGCCTGATCCAGTGGGGACCCCTCAGCCATTGGTTCATAGTTCATGTGTTTCCATTCCCTAATTGATGTGCTAGAAACCTCATCCAACTACTGAGGGATCTGGATGCAGAGATCCATGACAAGGCCCTGGGTGGATCTCTGGGAGTCCAATTAGCAAGAATGAGGAGGGTTTATATGAGCGAGAATTGTTGAGACCAAGGTTGGATAAAGCACAGGGACAAATAGCCAAATGAATGGAAACAATTCACTCTTAACCAAATACCGTAGGCACAAGTTGGATCATCTCAATGCCTCACACTGCCTCTAGTAGTTGTGGAGCTGTCGGTGGATTTGTAATTTTCTCACATGCTGCTTAAAGGTCCACAAAGGCTCAAAGGCAGCAACCACCACCTCCTGATGAGCAGTTCAGAGTTCGGGAGAACACTGGAACTGAGAGTGGCATCGTGGCCGTTCTTGGACTGTGCACCGTGCAGCACCAGCAACAGGCTCTTGTTGAAACACTCTTCCCCTTCTACAAGGGATCCCTGTGTTCTACCCTGTATATACCCCTTTCCTTGTGCTCACCTCCCAGCCCTTGTATTCTGAGGGCCTCCAGCTTTTTCCTGTCCTGATGCCTTAAAGCCTAAGCATAAAGCACACTGAGGAACCCTGTCCCATCCACCCTGGCTCCATTACATATTTGACTGCCTTCCCACCCCATTCTGATTCTCACACGTGCCTTCCTTCAGCCAATCCCAGAAAGGGAGTCTTGGGCTGGGTCTGTACCCTGCCATGAGCCTAAAGCCACAGGCTCCCAGCAGGGGATCGGGACCCTGCAGAAAAGTAGTTTCTCAGCGAACCCTGCCCAACTCTCCAGACCCCTCTCTGTACACTTTGTGGTTGCACCATCTGTTAAATTAATTTGAGCATGTCCCTTTGTCTCCTCTAGCTCCAGTGTGAAACCTGGGGCACCAAAGACCTCTCACTTTACTTTGCCATTTGTGGGTCTTACTTCGATGCTATGAACAGAACTCTGAATTTCCACAAACAGGTTGACTTGTATTGCCTCACTCAATAAATAGCCCTGCAAGATGTCCATTGTTCCCAAGGACATAGGTGAGAGATGGGGCTAGGTAATGTGTGTCTAGGACCAAGTCGCTGACTGAGGAGAGACACTGGGGAAGAGAGTGCTGATGTAAAGGGACCCAGGGACTTGCCTGAAAGCCAAAGGAAAGATTTCTCAGGGCAGGTGGCTATGCAGTGACATAATCCTCCACCCTACCTCTCAAGGCACTTTCTAATGGGGTGGAGGAGGTTCCAGGAAACTGGGTCAGGTGAACAAGGGGACCTGATGTAGCCTTGGGAGCAAAGGAGAAGGACTGTGGGACATGCCTGGACAGCTGGGGAGTGTGTGTGTGTGTGTGTGTGTGTGTGTGTGTGTGTGTGTGTGTGTGTGTGTGATGTTTCCTGGTCATGCCCTGCTTCCTGGGCTGCAGCGCTCACACACTCACTGTACTGATAACACTACCAGATGCCAGCCCTCCCTGCCTCGATGACACTTTCTGTGTGCACCTCAGCACTGGGTATTGAGTGAACAATCCACTTAATGCCCCCGAAGGGGCCTCTGAGGGTGGTATTGCTGGGAACAAGTGGTGTATTCCTGTGGGGTGACTGCATTGTTGCAGCACACATCATTGTTTACTGAAGGAAGAGCGTCCCGGTAACAAAGGGATTCCCTGGCTTTTCCATCTAGTGCGTTGGTTTTCCTTTTCTCTCTCTCCCTCTCTCCTTCCCTCCCCCACTTCTTTCTTTCTTTCTGGAGCAGACAAAGCTTCATATAGCCCTGGCTTGCCCCCAACTCACTACTAAATAGCAGAGGATGACCTTGAACTCCTAAGTCTCTGCTTCCCAAGTGCTGGGATTGTAGGCATGTGACACCATACCTGGATCACTGGCCTTTCTTAAAATGGGAAGAAACCATCATGCCCAGTGGAATGTCAGTGCTTCCAATGAAAGTGATATCGTGAGTTTTGGCAGCACGCACCAACATGCCTCACCCCAGCGGAGTTGAAGAATATCTTGGATGTCCCCTTAGAGGCTGGTAAAACGATTCAGGGGGTAAAGGTGCCTGCCACCAAGCTTGACACCTGAGTTCAATGCCCGGGACCCGCGTGGTGAAAGGAGAGACCCAGCTCTCACAAGGTGTCATCTGACGTCCGCATGTACTCTGTGGCTTCATCTCACACATAGACACACAGAGATAAAATAAAGAAATGTAATACAAAATTAAAATCAGAGGCTGGAAATTAAAATTAGTTCAGCAGTTAAGAGAGCTTTCTGTTTTTTACAAAGGACCTTTATTCAGTTCCCAAGACCCACATAGCAGCTAGGATCTGATGCTCTGCTCTCTTCTGGCCTCCACAGGCACCAGGCACTCATGTTATACACATAAATAAAATAAAAATAAATAAATTTTTAAATTAAAAATAAAATAAAGTAGTGGTCAAATAAGTTTAAAATTTCTCATCTTAGCCACTTTTAAGTGCACAGTTCAATAGCATGAAGCTACCTTACCATCCACCTCTAGAACATTCCATCCTTCCAAGTGAAATTGTGTTCCCATGAAACATTTCCTCTCCACGCCTCCCCATCCTGCTTTCTGCCTCTGTGTATCTGATGGCATTGCAGACATCCTGTGAGTGTATTCTTGTAGTACATAAGTCTTTTGTGTCTGATTTATTTTGTTGTACCTGTCCCCCAAGTCCATCCACACTCTAACATGTGTCAGAGCTCCCTTCTTCTGTGAGCCTGATCATATTTCACCTGTGATGTGGTTGGACCACCTCATCAGAACACAAGAGGGACTGGACAACTGCTCAGATCTCTTGTACTGCTCGGTCACCAGCTGGCCTAAGGCAACATCCTTCTGAACCCCATGGGAGGAACCCTAGAAACACCAGTGTCATTGCTGGAGAAGAGCCTTGTGCAAGGGTGTAAGTGGCCCGGGCTTTCTGACGTGCTTCCTGAGTTTCACTGTATGATGATCACAGGAAAGGAGCTCAAAATGAGACAGGAGCAATCCAGGCTGGTATGGGGGTTAGAGTGAGAAAAGTCCCCCATAGGCTCAATATTGGAAAAATTGGTTCCCAGTTGGTGACACTATTTGGGGGAGGTTATGGAAACCTTGGGAGGTGGACTCTTGCCAGAAGAAGTATGTCACTGGAGGTGGGCTTTGAGACTTTATAGCCTCACTCCCACTTTCCAGTTCACTTTCTGCTTTTTGCATGTGGTTGAAGATGGATCTCTCAGCTTCCTGCTGCCAAGCCTCCTCTGCCGTTATGCACTTTCCCTCTAGACTGGAAACCTAAAATAAACTCTTCTATAAGTTGCTTTTGGCCGTGGTGCTTTATCACAGTGACAGAAAATTAACTAATACAGCTGGAGGATGGCTCAGTCATTAAAATGCTTGCCACACAAGCCTAAGGACCAGGGCACCATCTCCAAAAAACCAGCACAAAAATGTGTGGGTGATCAAAGCGCTTGCACTGGGGATATAGAGACAGGAAGATCCCCATGCGCACTAGCCAGGCAACCTAGCCTAATTGGTGAGTTTTGGGCCAAGTAGGATACCGTGTCTCAAAAAATAAGGTGCACAGTGCCTGAGGGAAAACACTCCAAGTTAACTTCTGGCCTTTGAGTATATATGCACACACATGCACACTTAAAAATAAACAGTAATACTCGTGAGTGTATGTACATGTGCATACACACACATAGAGCATACGTGCCAACACAGGCACACAGGCACAAAGAGAGAGAGGGGGGGAGAAGGAGAGAGAGAGAGTGAGAGAGAGAGAGAGAGAGAGAGAGAGAGAGAGAGAGAGAGAGAGAGAGAGAGATTGAGAAATTGCCTTAACTGCTCAGCTCCTGGGCCCAGGGCCAGAGCCATGAAAGGTGTGGCCAAGCCTGGGCAATGCCTTCCTCCTCTTTGTGTTCTTTGATTGTATCTGCATCACTCTAGCCTCTGTTTGGCATTCTCATGGCCCCCTCCTTTCTGTCCATTCTTCTTTGATCTCTTTTATTAACACATTGTACAGGGGCCACCCTAACTCAGGACAGTATCATCTCCAACTCCTCCGCTTGATTACATCTGTCAGAGT